GCAGCCAGCGCCTGAGAAGCATCCGCAAAAACGCTCTGCTTCTGTGCAGCTCTTAAGCTCTTGCTGGTTCATCGATTCTTCTGTCCCCTGTTTTCTCACCTTTTTAATTCAAAATACTAAAATTTCTCTTTCTGCATGCTGCTTTTGAGAGGGACCTTTTCCAACACACACTACAGCCCCCGTCTCCTCACCAACCGGTTGTTTTACCCCCTACATAGTTTGGGGTTTTGGTCAACAATGAACCCCATTGGCCTCCCCCCATCCCAGATGGTCTCCCCAGGATATCAGGGGAGCCTCTGTGCTGCCTTCAGTCCGCCAGGCCCATATAGGATTGAACTCAAGCCAACCTGCGCTGCTTGGGGTGTGTGCACGCGTGCGTGCAAAGTGGAACACCTCCCTCCACCACCACCCCGGTCCTGTCCACACTGATATTTATATGCCTGTTTATCTCTGTACCCCTGTGACATTTTCAAATGACTGTTGAGTGGAGGAAAAAAAAATCCCAGTTAAACAGGAAAAAAAATTAATAAAGACTTGATTTCTGAACGTACTTTTGATGTCATTTTTGCCAGGAAAAGTCCGGCTAAAAAGCTATTTCATCTCTCTGGAAAGTCTGGCATCTGCTTTTTGGTTAATGGGGCAGAGTTAAGGCGACTAACACAGCCCGAGAGGCATAGCTTACTTTTGGCACAGAATCTGACGGAACATCTGCATAAAATAATGTCCAGGCCTGCACTTTGCAGTTCTGTTGCCGTCTTCTTCCTTCCAGCAAATCCATCACCAGACATACTTCGGTCCCTACCGAGCATCGCTCTGCCACCCCCTCCGACCCACCGCTGCATCAAATGCTACCCTTTTGCATAGCCACCTTTATGTCCTGCGATGCTCAGCTTCAGATGTGGCAGGCGCCCAGCTGAGGCATCTTGCTGCTCGGCCTTCGGAGCTGGGCATACCTTGAGGAGTGGCCTCCTGGGATACTCGCTAAAAATACATCTCCCTGCGTTCTTGGGCTTTCAGCACAACTGTGTTTGCATTGGGACAGAAGCCAGAAAGAGAGATTGTTCTGAAGACGCCATTTCTCTATTGGAGATGCAGTTGCTAATGATGGAGAAGCCCTATGGATCAACCTTGCTTCGGTTTTTATTTATATTCTTGTTTAAACTCCAAGGAATTCAAGAGGGTGGGTTTCCTTCCCTGCCCAGAACAGCATGGTGGGTTATGAAGAAATGCAGCAAGTGGCCACATGCAACCCCATGGGCTTCACTGCCAATTTGAGGTTGCAATAAGCGCCTCTTCCCACCAGTTCGAAACCCATATTCTAAGAATTTTACTGAGCTGCCAGGCTGGTTAGTCCTTTAATCTGAGCCGTGCGGAGGAAAGTTGGTGCTTCTGTTTACGGTTCCAAAAGTAGACTGCATAAGGGTAGCTGCGAAAGAACTAAAAAAAAATAAAATCTTCCAGTCTAAGGATGGGTCACTAGACACCACGGCCAAAATCATCCACACTGAGGTAGGTTGGGAGTTCAATTCCCCACCGTTTCTCCATAAATATATAAATAGGTATATATTCAATAAAACATAAATTCCCCTCTGTGGATTATTTATCTTGTGCAGGTCTTTTCACAGCAACGTTGGGCCAAAACTGGTTCTCTTTGAAGCTGCTTCTGGTTATGAGCTGTCAAGTCGCTTCCAACTCATGGTGACCCCTAGGAATGAGCCCTCCTCCAAAATGCCCCTGTCCTCAGCCACCCTGCTCCATTCTTGCAAACTCAAAAGCCTGTGGCTTCCTTGAGGGAATCCTTCCATCTCATAATATTCGGCCTTCCTCTTCTCCTCTTGCCTCCCACCTTCCCCAGCCTTATGGTCTTTTTTTTTTGCAGAGCATCCTGCCTTCTCGGGATGTGGCCCAAAAGTATGACCACCTCAGTTTCAACATTTTTTTGCCTCCAAAGGCTTGATTTGATTTAGGACCCCCTGGTTCACCTTTCCGGGCTGTAGCTTTGCAGAGACTTTTATCTGCCAAGCTCTCGTCCAGCCCCAAATTTCAAAGAAATCAATTATTTTTTTTCCCTCCTGGTCCAGCTTTCTGAACTGCCCAGGTTTCACACCCGCCCTTGAGAGGCTCTGAAATACAAGAGGCGAGAAGGCGCTCAGCTTAAGCCACGTGTCCTTAAGGAGGAAGTGGGCGCGGCTCCGCGGTGGCTCCACCCCCTGCCTCCTGCCGATAGGCTGGAAGCCCAGTGGGCGTGGCTGCCTTTTTTCCTCCCTCCGCCTTTATCCCAGGGAAGGCGTGGCCGCGGCTCATTCATCCCTGCCGCGGCCTGGGCGGGGCTTCTCCCCCAGGAGGCCACGCCCCCCAAGGAGTAGGCCGGCTCTCCGGGCTTCCCCGCGATGC